GGGGCCCAGGGGCACCTAGCCTGAATCAACCCTGTGCTCAGGCAGCAATGAGAATCCAGCCTTTGTGACAAGCTTGCCCCTGCCAGGTGATACTTCTGGGGCAGGGGGAGGGGGAAGGTGGCTATAGGAAAGGAGGGTAATGTGGGTAGAGCTATGCTAAGGCTGTGGCAGTGTAGCAAAGGCCAAGGGCTGAGAGATGACCCAGGAGCTGGATATTTTCAAACATGGGAGTCATCTAAGTCATCGCTAAAAGCATCTTCCAGGGTCGGGGGAGGGAGTACAGGCTGTGTTTCCTTGCTCTGGGGAGATGGCGGTCCCTGCTAGCATCCTCACTGCCTAGGCCCTGGCCCTCAGCCCTTTGCCCTGCTCTCCTCTGGAGACTTCTGGAGCTCCCTGGAGTAGCCCTGGCTCCTGTGAGTACATTTCCACAGAGCTGCAGATGGAGGAAATGAACAAGTCAGGTGGTGGGGCAGAGGCTGAATCTGTGAACACCTGGTGAGTTTGGGGTCCTGACCAGATCCCTCTGGAACTCAGCCCCCCAACCTGCTTGTCCCTTAGACTCACTTTGTCCCCCTCTCAGTAAACGGCATCATCATCGCCCAGTTACTGGAGCCGGAAGGCTAAGGCGTCACTCTGATTCTTCAGTCAATTCATGTGTACATCCTAGTTCTGCATCCCAAATATTTCTCATCTTGCTTCATCTCCACTGCCACCAGCCTTGCCCATCCCACATGACCTCCCTTCTAGACGATCACAAAAGCCGCCAAACTGGTGTTCTTGCTTCCACTATTGTTCCCCTCCAATCCATGCTCCAAAAAGCCGGTGATATTTTACAACTGAAAATGAAAAGCCCTTTGTTGGTTCTCTTTGTCCAAGAAAAAATATGTCCAACTGTGGGGGAAACAAAATCCCAACTCCTTCTCATGGCCCTAACTCTTATTTCATCTCTCCCCTATCCACTCCAGTCTAGCTACACTGGTGTTCCATCAGTTCCTAATATATGTCAGGCTCTTTCTGCCTTAGGGACTTTGACCTAGCTGTCTCCTCTGCCTGGAACACTCTCCCCCCAGAGCTTGGCATGGTTGGCACCGTCTCATCCTTTAGGTGTTAGCTTAGCTGTCACCTGAGGGAGGCCTTTCCTGAATGCCAAATCTTCTCCCAGACTCTCTCGCAGAACCCTGTTACTTTCCTTCATAGCACATGCGGCAGGTTGTAATAATTTATTTATTTATCACCAGCAGAATGAAAGCTACACAAGGGCAGAGGCTGCCTGTGTCTCAGCAACAGGGTTTTTTTCTTTATAACTAAACTACTTTATTGAGGTATAACATATATTCAGAGAAGTGTACACATTGTAAGTCGATGATATTCACAAATGAACACACCTGTGTAACCAGCACCAAGATCAGGAAATAAAACACCCCTTAACCCCTCACAGTGCCCCATGTGACTCCCCCAGGCTGAACACTACCTGATTCGATTTGTTTTTGCCAGTTGCAAACTTTATATAAATGGAATCCTGACCCTCAAAGATGCCCCATCCTAATCCCCAGAATCTTTGAATGTGTTACCTTGCATGGCAAAAAGGACTTTGCAGATGTGGTTAAGTTAAGGACCTTGAGATGGGGAGATGATCCTGGATTATCCAGGTGGGCCCAATGTAATCATAAGAGTCTTTAGAAGTGGAAGAGGGAAGCAGAAGAGGTCAGAGTGATGCAATGTGAGAAGGACTCAACCTGCTGTTGGTGGCTTGGAAGATAGAGGAAGGGAGCCATGAGCCAAGGAACGTGAGGAGCCTCTAGAAGGTGGAAGAGGCAAGGAAACAGATTCTCCCCTGGAGAAGGGAACACAGCCTTGCAGACACCTAGATTTCAGTCATTGAAATGCACGTCAGACTTCTAACCTACAGAACTGTAAGATAATAAATTTGTGTTGTTTCAAGCTGCTAAATTGGGGGTTATTTGTTACAGAAACAATAGCAAACTGATACAGGTCTTTACTGTTTGTGTCTGGCATCTTTCACTCAAGATTTTATTTGTATTATACAATATTTCATTGCACAAATACACCACATTTTAGTCATAGAGTATTGATGGACTATTGATGGATAATAGCCAGTTTGGGCTATTACCAATAGCGTTGCTATGAACATTCTTGTACATTTCTTTCGATTAACATCTGTGCCTATTTCTGTTGCGCATATATTGGAACAGAATTGCTGGGGTATAGGGTGTGTGTTGATAGCGGTTGCTGTGATGCGTGCGCAGACTCCCCTTCGGGACTGAAGGACGTGTTCCTCCAGCTGCTGGGAGAGCTGCGGGCTGACAGTCCTCAGCTCAGCCCTCTCTGAGAAGAGAGCTCCTTTGCCCAAGGTCACACCTGCTTCCCAGGGGCAGCCTGCCTCTGTTGAAGACTGGTTGATACTTGTATGGGGGGAGGAGGATATAAAGGCCCTCCCCTCACTGCCACTTAGAGTAACTTTGAAGGGTCACCGGCAGATTCAGAGCTGTCCAGGAATCAGGCGAGGCTTTTGCCGAGGCCGCATCCCAACCCACCTTCTCCTTCTGCCAGCCCTACTTCTTTGTCTTCTCCCACAGGTGTTGATCCTTCTAAAAAAGTTGAACACCTTGTCACCAAATGGGTCATTTGGTCATTCGTGAAGTGCCTGGTCAAGTCTTTTACCCACTTTTCTACTGGGTTGTCTTTCTTGTGGACTTACAGATGTTCTTTCTCTATTCTGGATGCAAATCCTTTGTTGGATATATTTGCCACATATATTCAGAGCTGGATATACCCAGGGTACCTCAACAGAACCGGTACATGGTGGGTCCTAATAAAAATGTCTTACATGAATGCTTGAGTCTGAAAGCTCCTTTAAGGAAAGAATGCTTGGATGGGTGAAACTGTTCGGTTTTAACGGGTATAATTGGATATAGGATATGGATCCCAAGCAGAGGGAAACAGGACCTTAACGGGAAAGGCCCAGAATGCAAGTAACACACCCTCAAACTTCGGCACTCCTGGCCTGAGGTTTCCGGCCACAGGCATTTAAACACTCTTCCTGAAGGTAACTAGAGTAATACTCATTCGTTCAGAGTGTCCATGGAAGGTATCAATGGGCCAGCCTGTTCTAGGCACTGAGAAGCCAGCTGTGAACAACAGAAAGAGCCTTGCTTCCAGGAGATCTAGAGGGAGAGAGACAAAACAACAGGTAAACAAAATAAATTAATTTCAGACCGCGAGCGGTAAACTGAAGGAGTCGAGTTTGGAGGGAAGGTGGGGTTGATCCAGCAACAGCCGGACCCAGGCACCAGGGAGATCCCGCCCTCGGCCCCGCCTCCAGCTTTGCATAAATCTCCTGATTGGCCGGAGGCGGTCGGCCCGACCCCGCGGAGCGGGCGGCTCGGGAAGCGCGGGGCGGACCCGGCCAAGATGCAGCCGCGGCTCCGGGTGTCGCTCGGCGGGCGTTGGGCAGCGCGGGCCCGAGCCGGGCAGGGGGCGCCCGCCGCGGCACCCGCGCTCTAGTAGCGCTCCAGACCTGCCGGCAGGCCCGGGCCCTTCTTGCTGCCGTCCCGCCTGCCGTCCCTGCCCCTCCACCCTTTGTGCTGCCTCAGCCCGGTGCCCTCCGCTCCGCAGGACCCCGGCCGGGCCGGACCGCGGTGGCGCGCCAGCCCCGCGTGGGCGCCTGATCTGCGGCCGATGGCGAGGGGGCGCGGCGCGGGCGGGGGCGCTGCAGCCCGAGTCCGCGACGCGGGAGGCCCGGCCCGCCTCCGCCGCATTGTCCCGGGCCCCGCGCCCCGGCCCTGAGCTGCGCCGCCGCAGCGCTCACCCGCGGCCGGCGGGGCCATGCGGAAAGCTGCCGGGATGGAGGACTTCGCAGAGGAAGAGGAGCCCTGGTATGACCAGCAGGATCTGGAGCAGGGTGAGCGCGGGGGAGGGGGACAGGAAAGCGGAGTGCGCCCCGCGACTCCTGTCCGCTTCTCCATTGTTGGGCGGTATCACCCCGGACCTGGACCCGACCGGCAGAGACCTGCAAAAGTCGGGGAGCGGTCTTCCTCTTTTCCCTGATGACAGGGGCATACTTCACCCAGCCTGCCCACCCCATCTTAGAGGCCAGAACTGCCCAGGCGCCCCTGGGATTGTTAGGGGCCTGAGTGCTGGCTGGAAGTCTTCGGAGGCCGGGAGGTGGCTCCTTCGTTGGGTTTTGCTGGGAAGGGTGGGGCGTGTGTGTAAGGGGGACGTTATCCCATTCCAAATCCAGCGGGACCCTTCCCTGCCAGGATTCCTGAGCTCCAAGATTCTCAGAAAGTTTCCCCAACTCGCTTTCTGTCTCCCCAGGGAGGGGATGGGGGTTCAGGGACCTTGCCGGTGGAGAAGCAGAGACTCCACGTCTTCAATTTGCCTTCCATGAGGGAGGAGCCCCCTGGCCCTTTGCCTCCTGGCCCTGTCCAAAATGGCTCATGGTTTGGAGGGGGTCAAATTTGGGAATTCAGAGCAACGAGCCAGATTAGAGCCTGAGTAAAGATGGAGGCACCCTCCACCCTCAGATGGGAAGAGAGGGTGACTGGAAGGGGGTTAGAAGCTGGTGATGAGGTGGCCCAAGTGACATCACTCAGAATAGGGGGCGGGGCTGTTAGGGCAGGAAGGAGGAGGCCTTAGAGGGGCAGGGGCAAGGCATGCTGAAGTGGACTCTAATCCACCCCCGCCTCCCCCCAAGCACCTCATCCTTGGGTGGTCAGAGCTGGAGAGGACGAGGAAACATGTCCAGGAGAAGTGAACACAGTCACCCAGCAAACCAGGCAGGGGTGGACACAAGACTGCTTCAGCACGTACTGACACCCCCTCCTCTGGGTCTCTATCTTCCAGGCACCCAACATCTGGCTTTGCCCTCATGCGAGGCATCTACCCAGATCCTGGAGCCTTTGTTTTCTGATCCTGACCCATGTCTCCACGTGGCCAGATTTGCTGGTAGATGAGGCTCCGTCCTTGTGCTCAGGACTGTGTCTTAATCAGAGCCCCTGGGGGACCAGTGTGGGATTGGGGGTGCTGGGCTGAACTCTGCCATACTCTATTCTAGAGTCTACCCCCAGCCTCCCTGCCTGGAGTGAGATGCCCAATATTGGCATCCCCCTCCCCCATCCTGGGCGTTACCCCCAAAACTTTGCATTCCACGAACACTTATCAGGCTCCACTTAAGTGTCAGACACCATCCTGGGAGTTGGGAATAGTCCCAGCCCTGGCCCCTCTAGGTGCACCCCGGCAGGTGGAGGTGAGCCTGTAACTGAGTGTGGGCGAGAGGATGCAGTGAAAGGGCTTCATGGACGAGGCGGGCCCAGAAGGAAAGATTGGAAGCTGAGTGCCCGGGAAGATGGCCTCCCGGGAGGCAGATGCTGATATTGTTGCTGTCTCATTTCATTCCTGCACCCCTAACGAAATCTCTGGCACCATGCCTGGCCCAGATGTGGGAGGAAGGAGCCAGGGAGTAGGGGTGGGAGATGTGCTGCTTCCGGAAAGGGAGAGGTGTCGAGATTCCAGCTGGGCTGGGTGGCCATGCTCTGGGGCCAGGGTGAGGGGTGGGCCCAGCGGCCCCCCACTTTTCTGGCCCTGCTGGTCTGCAGCAGTCGGCCTCAGCCTGAAGCCCCAGTAGTAGCCAGAGCCCAGGAACAAGGAGGGATACCAGAAACGAGAGAGTCTCAGAAGAAATAGGGCTTTTGACCAAAACCCAAATGTCTGCTCGCCTTGGGCCAGTGCTGTGCTGAGCCTGGGAACGTGCTCTCCCCTCAGGGGACTACGCGTTCCAGCAGAGGAGGCAAAAATGGGACCAAACTAGCTACTGTGACGAGTGACAGGGGTTCTGCAGCAGCTGTGGGCCCCGCAGACAGTGAGAGCAGAGACAGGGGGGCCTTGTGCTGTGAGACTCAGAAAGGCTAATGCAAAGGCCCCTCCGAGCTAGAGGGTGAGTAGGGGCTCCCCAGGCAGAGGAAAGAAGGCAGGCATTCTAGGTGGAGGGGACGCTGGTACTAAGGCACAGAGCAACATGACTGGAACCACACATGACTGGAAAGTACGAGTTATCTAGAGTGCTGAAGGTGGGGCTCCGAGGAAGTCCCAGGCGTGGGGCCCGGCATGGAGAGCTGGATGTGGGGGTGAGCATGGGCCAAAGGCCAGCCACATTGGGGATCAGGTGCCTGTCGTGTCCCCGTTCCCTATACCCAATCCCCAAATTCTCTCCTGCCCAGCTGCTCCCTAGTTGCCTCCGAGTGTCCCAGGAAGCGGTGTGCTCAGCCAGCCCAATCTCCCCTCCATGTCTGTTTCCCCTTGTCCGGGAGGCAGGCCCCACCTCACTTTCGGAAGCTTGGCCATCGAGATCCTGTTTGACTTTGATGCTGTTCCGTCCCAGTGGAGGGAGACAATTGGGGCAAGCAAGGTCCTCGATTCTCACTGTGTCCCTCTGCCCATGGCCACAAGCACCTGTAAAAATAGAAAAAGCCATTAATTATTAAACACTGGCACTCTCTCTCCCCGCCTCCCTCCCCCAGCTTGGACCAGGCATGGCGGGCCCTGTGGGTGCCTCTTTCCAGGCTGAGAGATGGCTGCTGAGTCACAGATTTGAAGTCCTGGGCACCTGACCTTGAGTCTCAGCCTCAGGGGAAAGCTCTGACGTGGCAAGGGGAGGGAGGTGACCGGACCCCAATTCTGTGGATCCAGAGTTCCTGACGTTGGTGCCCAGGAGGTTATGAGCAGGATGCCCGCAGCCCTGCCAGGTGGTAGATCGCCTCCCCCCCCCGCCCCCCGCCTTTATCTTTGTGTCTTCTTCCCTGTGCCTGTCCCCATTCCCTTTCCCACCTCTCTGCTCTGGAGCCTATGGGACCCCAGCTCAACCCCAACCAGTGAGGAATGGTGGGATTTCAGGGTTTCTTTTCCAAGACATCCCCTTGGCTCCCAGCTGTTCCCTCTCAGGTCTCTGGGGCATTGCTCATGAGCAGCACCTCAGCAAACACTCAGAGGGCAAAACTGCTGAAGCCACTGCAGGAGACCCCAGAAAACTCCAGGGTCCAGGCAGCAGAGGTGCCAGTTCAGACTCAGTACCTTCCCTGGCTTGGTCCAGTGTGACCATTCATCTGGCCATGACAGGCTGTTTATTACTCTGGCTTCTACTTCCGACTTAGCCAGCTTCCCCATTCCCCCACTCCAGCCTCCCACGCGCTCTGATCCAGGGGGAGCTGCACCCTCCCAGAGCCATCACCAGCCCTCAGCTAGCTGGTGTCCTTTCCCCAGCACTTGGCTCCCCTCTGTCCTCTGCTCTGCAGCTTCTAGACTTTTCCTGTGATCCCTCCCGGCAGCTTTGACCAGCTTAGCTTGCATCGTGATCCAGTTTCCCTGAGACAGTTTCTGAGATTCTCCTCCACTCAAAACAGCTTCTGTTATATTCCCTTCCTCCCCATCCCTGAATCACATTCGCTGCCTTTGCAGGGCAAGCTTCAGTTCCCTGGTTTATAGTGTGACTTGCAGCTGCCCCAGCCCGCTGGCAGCGGGAATGCACACACAGCTCAGATGCTCGCCTAGAAGGAAGAGCATAAAGCGCAGTTGTTATTGGCCTTTCCTCACTCTGCCTCTGAGCCCGTGGCCTTGGACTCTAGGTTAAGCTGCACGGGTTCCACAGAGCCTGTCCCCTGATGCCAATGTAGGAGGTGGCATCAGTAGCAGTGGCCTATTCACAGACCACCTGATAGTTCCCAAGGGAGAAAATATTGATGAGTGAGGCCCTCTGTTCATCATTTTTATTTATTCCTGAATTATTTGATAGTGTTTGGGGATGAGCCAAATGCTCACCATCCCATTTGAGAATAGGAAGATGGGGTGGCTCCTTCATCACGAACTGGGGGTGGTCTTGCCGGGCTCCTGAATTTCCACCAAGCACTCAACATGACACAGGGCTGCAGTTTTGTGATCCTAACATCAAACTTCACGCTTTGTAGACAGACCCCTCCAGACGTGCCCAATTTATAGTTAAGAAGTTCATACAAGTGTCCTCGTTCCCCTACTAGGTTTGTGTTAGGTAACTAGTTTTCTTGGCATCATCGGCAAGTTCATTGCTCAAAGCTAAAGATTCTTATCTGAGATTTATGTGATTCAGTATTTTTTAATGGCTGAGGTAGGTGTTCAGGAAGGCGGCTTTTGTTTTTCCAGGCTAAGTTATGGCAGCCTTGCTCTGCATCCTTCTCAGCCAGGGAATGCCTCCGGGTGACATCTAGGCACAGGGCCCTCCTCCCAGCTTAGGCCCAGGAGGACTCTGGCTGCTTCAAAACCTCACCTCCATGCATGGGGGCAGACTCCAGGTTTGTTCCTGACGAGCAGCTTGGCCTTTTGTCCAGGCCTGCTGTCTGCTCAGGCCTGTCTGGCTTTCGGAAGACGATGTCAGTCCTACCCCAGCCTGGCTGAAAAAAAACCTGAGGCTCTGCTCTCAAATGCCCACTGGAGTTACTGTTCTCCGGGGCTCTTCCAAGAGGAAAACCCCCACCCCAGGCCTGTCCGGGGCGAGCAGCGGGCTGAGCTGAAAGCACTGTATTTGTGAAACTTGCCAGGAGGGGGTATAGAGACCATGCACCCCCTCTATACTGTGCATGGTGAAGAGCTGGATCCCTGGACCACATCACATTGGCCCCCAACAGTTGCCTCCAGCGTCTTCATCCGGATCGACGCCATCAGCCTACATTGGGGGCTTTTCTAAGAAACAGCCTCACAATGGGAGAAAGAGCCAGGCTTTCCTGGACAGCACTTTGGTAGAAGGAATCAAATAGACCCAGCCTTTGCCCTGGTAATTCTCTTTCCAGGAAGTATCCTCAGGAAATAGGCTGTAATTTGCACAAAGATTTTTGTACTATGAAGTTAATTACAGTTTCATTTTTAATAGAGAAAAAGTTGAAAACACCCTAAAAGTCCAACAATAAATACTACTTAGGGATGGCTATTTGGGGACCTGCATAGACTATTCACCTCCACTAAAAATGACCCTCTAGATCTGTGTTGACACAGAAAGCTGTCCATGCCATGTTATTAAATTAAAAAAAGTGGATCTGTTTACACAAAATTGTGTCCATAGCTGTTTTAAGCACAGAGAGCTGTTTAGGAGGATGGTTACCAGTGTGTTGACAGCACCTCACTCCAGGTGGTGCTTTTCCTTCCTTCTACCCCATCTCTCCCCACTCCCCCCTGCCCCACACACAGAGTGTGACTTTAATTACTTACAAATGTTCTTTCGTAACCACTTGGGGCCATGTCGGTTGTTTATGGAATTCCCAGTGATAGGTCTAAGAATAGATGATGTACATTTGCAAGTAATTTTTTGTCACCGTTTTTTAACCTTTCTGTACTGTTTAATTGTTTATGTCAAGTGCGCCTTAACACAAACCTTAAAGCTCTTCTAAAAAGCAAAGAGCTGGGGCTGGCCCGGTGGCGTAGTGGTTAAGTTCATGTGCTCTGCCCCATCAGCCCAGGGTTTGTGGGTTCAGATCCTGGGTGCGGACCCACACACGCTCATCAAGCCACACTGTGGCAGCATCCCACATACAATATAGAGGAAGCTTGGCACAGATGTGAGCTCAGGGACAATCTTCCTCAAGGAAAGAAAAAAGAAGCCAAGAGCCTTGTGAACTTAGCCTGAGCCTGTCTAAGGGCCTCTTTGAGGGCCTGCTCCCCACCCCACCAGTCTCAGCTGCCTATATCTTTTTTTTGATAGTTTTTTTGAGATATAATTCACACACCATATAATTCATTCATTTCAAGTACAAGACAACTTAGTGGCCTTTAGTTTATTCACAGAGTTGTACAATCATCATCACAATCAATTTTAGTGCATTTTCATCACTCTGCCTAACTCTTTTTAGAAACGAAAGGAATATATTTATGAATATGAATATAAAAGGAGGAGGTTGGGCCACAGAGCTCCGAAGCCTCGTCCAATTCTAATACCCAGCCTGCCCTTCTGCCCCTTCCAATGCGCAGTGAGCTCCTGGTCACCCTTCCAAGCCCAGTTCAAAGGCTGCCCATCGCCTGAGCCTCCGCTGTCCCCAGGAAGACTGAACTCTCCCGTCCCTATCGTCCCAGGGCATTTGCCCCTATGTTTGTTGATGCTCTTATCACATTCCACTCATTCGTTCTTTCAAAAGAGATTCACTGTGCACCTGCTCTGTGCCAGGTACTGTGCTAGGGCCTGGGGATATCGGTGAACGAGACAGGCACACTCCCTGCACTGTGGGCTAACAGGTAGTCAGGGGAGATGAACAAGGTAAATGAGCAGATTGTAAGTTAGATGCTGACATTTGCTAAGGAGAAAAATTAAGTGGAAGGGAGTGCATGGTCGGGGAAGGTGCAGTTCTGAATCAATGGGGAAAGGCCTCCTGGAGGAGGTGACATTTAACACAGACTTGAAGAAGGAGAGGGATGAGCCCTGGGAGTCTAGGGAAAGGACTTTCCAGGTAGAAGCCACAGCCAGTGCAAAGCTTTAGCTCCCAGCTTACAGCCCCTCCCAGGCCTCCAGGTTCTCCGAGGGTGCCACCGTGTCCTGGTTGCTTGGGGTCCCCAAGGTCCAGCCCAGAATGAATGCTCAGAACATCAGTGGGGGTCCTCTGACTTCATTCTCCCACTGCTCATGTTTCTCCCACCTTCTGCCCCTCCCTCCAGACTTGCACTTGGCCGCGGAGCTGGGGAAGACGCTGCTGGAGAGGAACAAGGAGCTGGAGGAGTCCCTGCAGCAGATGTACTCCACCAACGAGGAGCAAGTGCAGGAGATCGAGGTGAGGGCCGCACAGGCTCCCCCGCCCACCAAGGGCCCCTTGGCCTGTGTATGCCTTTGTGCAACTTAGAAAAAGGCACCCTCTTAGCAGACACAGCCTTGTGCAGTTCGCAACCTGTACAACTGTGCTGCAGATGAATACCCCAAAGTAAACCTGTTCCTAGAAGTGGGAGGAGGGCCCAGGCAGAGACATTTTCCCACCCCTGTTCTGAACGTTACTCACCTCCCCCCACTTCACCCCCCCAGTACCTGACCAAGCAGCTGGACACGCTGCGGCATGTGAATGAGCAGCATGCCAAAGTGTACGAGCAGCTGGACCTGACAGCCCGAGACCTGGAGCTGACCAACCAGAAGCTGGTGCTGGAGAGTAAGGCTGCCCAGCAGAAGATCCATGGGTGAGGGCTGGGCAGAGGGCTGGGGGGCAGGTGAGGGAGAGGCCCAGCGCTGGGTGTGCATGTGGGTATATGGTTTGGTGGGTGTGACTCATGTTCCTTCTCCCAGAGGCCCAGGCCTGGGAACCTGGGATGGTAGTGAGTTTGCCCTTGTCGGTTTTTGGTGGTTTAACATTGAGGCCACTACCCTCCTTAAGCACCAGCTATGCACCAGGCTCTGTTTAGGGACTGGGGATATGGTGATGGGGATGCAAAGACACTGTCCCACCCTCTTGGGAGCTCACAGCCTGGGAGGGAAGGCAGGCGGGTAAATATTTTATTGCAGTGCAGGGTGATAAGTGATAGAAGAGGGTACAAGGGCTGAGGTGGCTCAGAGGGGAAATGGTCAGCTCGGCCTGGGGGGTGGGGAGAAGGGTGGGTCCTGGGAGTTCCCTGTCTGACCTCAGCACCAGGCAGCATGGCCCAAGGCTGCCCATCTGCCCCAGCCCCACATCCCTCCAGGGCTGCAGTGAGGAGGGCTGGCCTCATTCCCTTAAAGTCCCTCTCATGCCTGTCCCCCACCCCAGGCTGACGGAGACCATTGAGCGCCTGCAGGCCCAGGTTGAGGAGCTGCAGGCCCAGGTGGAGCAGCTGCGGGACCTGGAGCAGCTGCGAGTGCGCCGGGAGAAGCGGGAACGCAGGCGCACCATCCACACCTTCCCCTGCCTCAAGGAGCTGTGCACCAGCCCCCGGTAGGTGAGGGCCCCATCATGGGTGGAGCAGCCTCCTGGACTGTGTCTCCGAGTGCCTGGGACTGCTAGCCTGGGGAGGAGGGAGAGGGTGGGCACCAGGCAGCAGGTGGGAATGAGAGCTGGTGCATGGCCTGGGCCATCAGAGAGACTGGTCCTGTTGCTAACGACGGTCAGCAGCTGGCGCTTCCTGAGCACCGGCGCTGTACCCACCACTCTAAGTGATTTAATTCTCACGGCAGTACCATGAGGTGTGTTATCATCCCCTCTACTCAGATGAGTAAATTGAAGCTCAAAGGTTATGTGTCTTATCCCAGGTCTCTAGAATTCTAACCAGGAGGGGTTAATCACTATACCTTTCAGTTCCCATTAAATCTTCTTAATGGGATGACTTCTTAATGCAAGAACACATATGGTGTATTTAGCGGGTGTTTCAGTAAGGGTCCTGGCAGGAGACAGAGAGCATCTCGCACAGAGTAACTGAGCAGCCACTAACAAAGAGGTATGGGCGAGGTGGAGGGAGACCTCAGGGACACTGCAGCGGCCCAGGGCTGCAATAGGGAGGAGCTGTTACCATCCCTAGGCCTACAGGGGCTAGGAGAAGGGAGGGTACCGGAACCGAGAAGGTATGGAGGGTGCTGCCTGCCGCGCTAACCAGGAAAGGAGCCTGGAGAAGACATCCCCCTGACCTTCTGCTCCCACCCTCTGACTTCCTGCGGGTGCCTCCATTAGCTGAGCTCAGGAGAGAGCCAGGAAACCTGGCTGAAGCAGACCATTGGTGTCACCCTCCCAGGGCAGACAGCAGGGGGAGAAGGGCCGGGAGTGGATCTAGGGGAGAAACAATGTCCAGCCCAGTGGACAAGAGAGATGCAAGTGTCCAGGGCTGGGATCCCAGGCCTCGGCCATGACCTCCGCCCTCTCCCTGCCTGCTCTCGCTCCCTCCCAGGTGTGAGGATGCCTTCCGCCTGCACAGTTCCTCTCTGGAGCTGGGCCCACGGCCCCTGGAGCAGGAGAACGAGCGGCTGCAGACGTTGGTGGGGGTGCTGCGTTCCCAGGTGAGCCAGGAGCGGCAGCGCAAGGAGAGGGCGGAGCGCGAGTACGCGGCGGTGCTCCAAGAGTACTCGGAGCTGGAGCGGCAGCTCTGCGAGATGGAGGGCTGCCGCCTGCGCGTGCAGGAGCTGGAGGCCGAGCTGCTGGAGCTGCAGCAGATGAAGCAGGCCAAGACCTACCTGCTGGGCCGGGAGGACCACCTGGCCGAGGCCCTGCTGGCGCCCCTCACCCAGGCCCCTGAGGCCGACGACCCACAGCCAGGCAGCGGGGACGACTCGGGCGCCCAGGACGGTATCTCCTCTCCGGCCGCCTCCCCGGGCCATGCCGTGCGCAAGAGCTGCAGTGACACGGCACTCAACGCCATTGTGGCCAAAGACCCCGCCAGCCGGCACGCGGGCAACCTCACGCTGCACGCCAACAGCGTGCGCAAGCGGGGCATGTCCATCCTGCGGGAGGTGGACGAACAGTACCACGCGCTGCTCGAGAAGTACGAGGAGCTACTGAGCAAGTGCCGGCAGCACGGCGCCGGGGTGCGGCACGCCGGCGTGCAGACGTCACGGCCCATCTCCCGGGACAGCTCATGGAGGGATCTGCGCGGGGGCGAGGAGGGCCAGGGGGAGGCCAAAGCCGGTGAGAAGAGCTTGAGTCAGCACGTGGAGGCCGTGGACAAGCGGCTGGAGCAGAGCCAACCCGAGTACAAGGCGCTCTTCAAGGAGATCTTCTCCAGGATCCAGAAGACCAAGGCTGACATCAATGCCACCAAAGTCAAGACGCACAGCAGCAAGTGACCCTTTCCTGCCCCGGGCCTACAGCCTGCCCCAGGGTCAGGCCGTGGGGTCCCTCATGCCTGGGCCATGCAGCCTTTGGTGAGGGAGCCCTTTAGCAGCAATATATCCCAGTGGAGGCCGCTCTCTGGCCCAGGGAGCGTGTGGGGGATGCAGCATGTTCCCTGCTGACCTGAGAGGCAGTCCATACATCCTGCCTCCCGGGACCCTCCACTCAGCCCAAGGGCACAGCTCAGAGTTTCAAAGCCAAACATCCCCACTCCCCTGGGGATTCCCAGCTCCCCTAGCCCCGGGCTTCCTGACCCTGGGCCTTGCTCTCAGATTTGTGGCCAGGCTTCTGAAAGCCATTCTGGACCAGTTGCCCTTTTCTTTTTCCAAGTTCATTTTTTTCCGAGAGATTTGCAATGCAAGGTCTCCCTGACCCCTTGCCACAACTGGAAACACTTGAAGGGGGACTCCAGAGCCAGCTGTTACAGGTTCCAGGGGTCTCCTGGACCATCCACTGCTTCTCCCCAGCTGTGATGCGCTGTCATTCCCGGAGCACCAGCTGTCCCACCCCCAGGGTCCTGACCAGGTCAGAGATAGCCCCTGCCATGCGGAGCAGAAAGTCTTAGCCAGGCCCCAAGTGCCGCCCACTCCAGCCCTGGTGAGGGGGGGGCCTCGCCCTGGAGACCCTCAGCCCACTGTAGATCTGTAGCCAATCAGAGCAGGGAACAGGGAGCTCCTCAGCAGCTATACACCGGCTGTATACCCTGTTCCCCTCAGAGCCAGCCTCTTTGGGTTCCAGCCCTGGAAATGCCTTCTGGGCATTAAGCCGTCCAGGGATCTGGGCTGAGGGGAGCCCCCCATCTCTGCACGCCCCCTCTGACTCACTGAGCTTGGCCTCTGCCTGCCCCCATCTCAGGGACCATGACGTCTCATTCACTTCCATGCTCCCCACCGGCCTACCCCAGTGCAGGTCATGCCTGCCACCCCCGGGATGCCCCCGGCATGTGCCACCAGCCAGTGGTCCCAGCGTCCGCCCCTGCCCAAGATTCTCATCCCACACTGAACAGTATTGAAATGGGACCAGGATGGGGAACATCTCCTCCCTCCCATAAAATGCCTGCTCTTAACCTCCCACTTTTGTGGGGGGCTTTTGAGGACCCAGTTGGGTCAGGGGGTTAATCTTTTGTTAAGGCTTCAGACAGTCCAGCTTCAGCTAAGAGATGCCCAGGTCCCCAGCTTGCCCTGAGCAGTTCTTCAGGGCTTCCAGTTCCTTCTGCTGCCCATCCTGAGACCCTAGAAATCGGAGGAGCCACACAGCCCAGTGGAAGTTGGTGGCCCCGGCCCCTGTGCTGGGAGCCCAGTGGGGAACCTTCATGCCTTATTTGTTCCGAAGGGGTAAAGGGGTTTTCTTAACAAGCATGCCCGACCCCCCTGGAGGCACCACCCTGTTCTCTGGGCGGCACTGTGATGAGAGCTGTCAGCTGGTCCTGTTCACACATCTTGGAACCTTTTGTCCTTTGGAGCTGGGCAGCTCCCAGCCCTCCATGTGTCTGTGATCTAGGGTGGAGGGAAGGGGTGGGATGGGGTGGAGGAACGCCTCCTGCCTGTTTGCTCCCCTGCTCTGTAGCAGCCGACCAGCGTCACCTTTGAAGTATACATGAGAGAAATATATTTACAAATGCTTTATTCTCTTCTTTAATAAAAAACGCATCAGTATTCTAAAAGCAGAAATGGCCCCAGAGCCATGGTCCTGTGTCTGTGTGTCACACACCGCCTCCCATCACAACGGTGAGGAGAGGGGGACAGTCTGAGCTTCACTCTCCTGTGATTGGCAGCCAAACAGCTCTAAAGAGTAGGCTTTTGGAAGTTACCACATTTATTGAGTGCCAGCTATGTTGCCTTGCAGGGCACCCCGTGCTGGGTGGACCCTCCTTCCTACACAGATTTCGTAAATTCCCTCCTGCAACCCACACCTGCCAACAGCACAGGTGACTTCAGAAGCTGAAGAAAATGCTCCTGAATCTTGGAGGGGTCAGTTTCTTGCTGCCTTTGCCACTCTCCCATTTCCAGACAGAAAATTCAGCTGGCTCTGGATCCCAATCCCACATGGAGAAACTTCCAAGGTATTCTCTGGGAGGTAGGCTCGGGGACCCCCAACCAGCACCGCCCCCCGCCCCCCCCCCCCCCCCCGACGTTCCTGAAGGAGCCAGGAGCAACCTCCCTCGGATCCTGGAGGTGAGCATGGTGTGGCGTGGGGAGTCCAGAGCTGGGCCCCATATTGGCAGTTTCTATGCTTTTTACATCAACTGAACTGTGTGGGGTTTTAACGTGCCCAGCATACAAGTGGCTGTCAGATTTTCCTCTCCTGCTGTGACCTGTCTCCAGTGGGATGGAGAGCACATTGTGGGTGTGATACCTAGCGCAGTCACGCCTGAGGAGCACAGGAAGCTGTCTGTGGCCTGTATCCAGCCACCCTTCTCTCCTTGGCCTTTTAAATCGCCCTCTGAATATATTTTTTCCCATCCCTTCTTCCTTCCTGCCACCACTTTGTCCTTCCTCAGCTGCCTCCCTAGGTTTTTCCCCGGCCTCTCCTGCCTGAGACTGACAATCTTCCCCATCCCAAGACAAATACATTGAACCTCTTTGTAGGGAATTGGTCCCCCCTTCCACCACCCTAGGAAACAGACCTGCCTGCGCCCTCCCTGCAACCCCTGAGCTGAAAGCCCTGAGTGTTTCCAGGGAACTAGGCAGACCAGGGGCGGGCGTGAAGGAAGCCGCTTTCAGGACAAAGAGGGCAGCTTTGCCCACTCACTCATGCCAAGAGGCATGACCCTGCTGCCTGCCCAGCTTCTCCAAGAGGGAAAGAAGGTCTGGTATGGAGCTAGTCAGACTGGATTTCCCACCCCAGTACTGCAGAAAAAAAGCCATCAGATCTGCGAAAGTAAAATTTCCTTGAACCTGTACACACTTAGCATCCCTTAGTAGCAGCTAACATTTGTTGCCTGCTGACTTTGTGCCAGCCAGGGTTAAGTGCTTTATATGTATGCGATGCCCTCAGCAGCCTTATGAGGCAGCTATAAAATCTCTATTTTACTGATGGGGATCCAGAGGCTTAGAGGTTAAGTTAGTAATTCAAAGTCACATAGAAATATTCGAACCCAGAGCTGACCAATGCCACTATGCAATACTGCATGTTCCCTAACTCCAAGTAATGCTGCATTTTAAGAGCCAGTCTGACCGAGGGCATTTCAGGAAGGAAGAAAGGAAAATTCTGTGGACCTCCTACATGGGAGTGGTACCCAACTCAGAGGCCATAGAGAAGGACTGGTGCCCGCAAGCTCCTCAGCTGCCGGGAATTTCTGGGTGATTATCTTTTCTTCCCCTCTTTCTTCTTGCCCCTATGAATGTCCCCTTCCTGAAGCACCATTTCAGCTTCTGGAAGACCAAGGAGGGGAAGGAGAAGGCTGGCCCCAGCCTTCAGTGCCCAGCTTTTTAAGGGAACAGGTGGCCCCTCACAGATCTGTTTCTCCCAGAAGGGCCTCTGTTCTGATGGTTCACGGCAGCAGCAGGTGAGGGGAGCTTGCCAGCTGCTCTTCTCTCCACCCCAGGGCGGGTGTCTCATTCTCTCCTCTACCCGCCTCATCTCCCAGAATCCAGGCCACCAGATGGCCCGAGCAGGCAGTGTTTATTTGGGGCCATGGAAACCTACAGCTTCCTTTTCCTGTCACTCTGGGTCAGGCTCTGAGCTGGAGCCCAGCCTCAGAACAATAATGCCATGGAATGGTGCTGACTTTATTTTTCATAATCCCTGAGCTGTCAACCTGGGTGAGTCCCTGGCTTTGCTCCCCTGAGCAGCTTATTCCAGTCACCATGGAGACACCTCTATTCCCTCTGAGGTCTTGGGACTTAGTCAGACGGGGAAGGACTCAGGAGACTCCCCTTCCAGCCTAGAGCCCGAAGGCGTATGTCAATTGCCATTCCCTTCCTAGCTCAGGCTTACAAAGCCAGTGCCTGGGAGGAGGTGTATTCCCTCCTAAAGAATCTGCCCGTATCACTGAGGCGAGGACGGTAAAAGCCTTGATTTAACGACAATCTCTTGTTTCTAACAGCCAGCATCCCCAGAGGCATATTTTTCTAGGTAATTATGCTTTTCCTAAAAACAGAATTCTTCATTAAGAAACAACCACTAGTATTACTAATAATCACTAACATTTATTGAGCTCTGTTTCCATTTACCACACTGCCTCTCACCTAAGTAACTTAGCCAACACTTAGCTGTTTCCAAACATGACTCGCTCTACTTTGAACCTTTCTCAGAGTTAGAACTCATGAGTCTTGGAGTTCATGTCTTAACCACCCTGTGAAAGGGCTCTGCTTAGCCTGTCTGTGGCTGGCTGAATCTCTACCTCCTTCCCCAGCCTGCCCATAGCTCCTGACTGGGAGAAACTGCCATCACGCTCCACAAAGCCGCTGTTTCCCCCACAAGACTAGAGGCGGCGGCATTTAAAAAAACCTTTCTTTCTCAACCTGCCTGCCTCTCCTCCTATCTGGTATTTGTCCTGCTGAACCATTAGACATGTGCTCCACGGGAATTTCTTTATAGGCTGCCTTGTGAATGAGCCTGAAGTTGACTAAAACTCACCTCTAGCAGTACTCAACTTTGAAAAAAAATTTGCAAAGAATTCACATTATCAGTATTTATGGAGTATCTATGATGTGCCAGGTTCTAGGTGCTGGGGCTCCTGCAGTGAGTCAGTGCCATCCAGGGGCTTATTACATTCTAGCCAGGAGACAGGCAACAGACTAGAAAAATAAGATTGAGTGATGTGAAAGAAAAAAAAAAACCAAGTAGAGCAGAGTAAAGGGGATAGAGAAGAACTAGGCAAGACAGGGCAGACCTCACTGCGGATGTGAGATCTGGGGAAGAGTGGTCCAGGAGGAGCACACAGGCTCCAAAAGGGAGAGAAGTGGTGTTTCTGGGGAACACGGGATCAGGGAGTTCTTTTCACCAGGGGGCTCTGTATGCAGGAGAGGAACAGCCAAGGACTGGATCACGGGGCTGGGGGAATTGGGAAAAGGTGTGTGCAGCCGATGGCAAAGCAGACATACTCTTTATTCACTCTGGCAGACAGACAGTGGGAGCACAGTAGCTCCCCTTGTGGCCACTTTTATATGACTACTAGACAAAAGTGGCATACCGCCAGATGACATACAATGTTTACATTATACAGGTTACACAAGGTGTTTACATACATGGTTAGTGCATGCGCTGCCTGCAGCGGACATGCTGAGTCACATCTGCCTGGGCTTCCAGTCTGATGGTCCACAGTACCTCCATCTCCCCTTCCCTCCACCTCCATCAGACTGCAGCAGTCGGGGGAGCCTATGGGAGATGCGGGCACACAGCCCAACGTCCTGGACCCACATTCCACAACAACAGTATAGAGAACAGCAAATGACCACCAAGAGACAGGTTATACCTCCTAATGTGGCGAGAGCCCACTGCCACGGGAAGGACAGCTTAGACCACCATTCCTGCAGGGCGTCTCCCATCAATGTCTGGATCCGTGAGATCTCCTGCTTGGCCTGTCGCAAGGCTTGTGATATGTTCCTTGCGTTATCTGGTATATACATGCAACACTGCACCTCAGTAACTGCACAGGTCCCCCCTTGTGCTGCAGTAAGAATGTCTAGAGCCTTGCAGTTCTGCAACACTACTTCCGGGTCTGGTGGACTCCATCAGTTGAGAGAGACAGGGCCCGGGGGCTGTATGATTGAGGGCTCGGGTGGTATGCTCCGCCAAGGCCGTAACCTGCCACTGCAGAGCAATAGTCCCCGCGGACAGACTAAGAACAGCCAGGGGGTAAAACCACCAGGGCGTTCATTTCTCCCAGTGATAGTGCCCTTTTACCTTCTCCCAATTGCTGGGGCGCACATCCAAGGTTCTCCGAACAGTAGCCGGGAGGTAGGACCACCCCCAGGTACATCACCCTGCCCAGTTGGCCAGGAGATAAGGCCATCCATAACTACCACATACCCAGAGACTGCCCACAGGCATTTTGTCCGTGGGGACCGTCCCCACATAGGGATGGGCATTCCACCAATATTTGGGCCAGGTCACTTGTTGAATCTTTTGACACAGCTCCTTGGGTATCCACCCTACTATTACCTCCCCCTTCTGTTGCTCTATGCATAGGGGCATAGACGTGCGGAGTGCAACAGCCTCCCTGGGTAACCACTCATAGCCATCCCAGAGGCTTGGGGTCGCTGAGGGCCATTTATGTCCACGTTGTCGGTACAGCTGCTGGTCCACCTGGCGCCTTCTTTGGTCCCACTGAGCATCGGTGGGTCCCTAGGAACGCAGCCAGGTCCAGCTCCCTTCTGAAGCAGGGAGGATGTGCCACGGCAAGCCTTCTGCAGTGCTGGTGGGCAGTTCTGTGCACACCCAGCAGTTAGATACCTTGGCCACCTCAGCATAGGTGTGCGCCCATTCCACAACACTCTTCGCCACACTCCATCTATGGGCAAAAGGACAAAGCAGTGATAGGAACTAGGAGAGGCAAATCACGTCCTTCTGGCAGAATGCAGGCTAGTCTCTTATCCTGGGACAAGAGGGTGGCTGCCAACGGGGGCCTTTCCGGCCGTTGATACCTCATCTTTTCTGCCTGCAGAGGCGCTGCACGCGCTAGCTCCACATGGAGCAGTACAGGGGAACCCATTATTGGCCACGTGGAAATCACATACGTCCCCTTCAGGATAGAACCAGCATCAGTCTGTGGCAGCCTGACAGTTACCCGAGGGGGTCAAGTGCTAGTCACCCACGGGGTGACATGTAAGTCTCATTGTTCCCCAAGTCCCCAAGGCGCTAAAAGTGCCAGCCACCTGCAGTGAGGGGCTTTTATCTTCCAAGGCCTTTCCCATTCTTGTACCTCCCGCACGTTGCGGCACGCTGGGGCCGGCAAGAGAATGTTTCCCTTTTGGCCATAAGCAGGCTTTAGTAGCTCATCAGTGGTTATTACTTGCAGCTGTATGGGGGCTACGCTGCCATGTAGCAATGCCTCTACAGGGGCTGGCCCTCCCTTTTGAGGCTTTTAACACCATCAGCACCTGCCACAACCGAGTTGCCCAGCCTCGCAACAAGGGGGGGCTGTATGGTTGTGTGTAAGCCCTGCTTTAAAAGCCCATTGTACCTCTCTATTATCCCAGCAGCAGCCGGGTTGTAAGGAGTATGGAAAAGCCATTGAATGTCCGTGGTACTGGTCCACCACTGGACTTCTTGTCCTGTAGAGTGTGTCCCCTTGTCGCTCTCCACGATCAAGGGTTGACCATGAAGAGCACAGAGTACCTGCACGGCTTGAAGTGTCCGCACCTTTGGTCTTTGGTAACGATCTGATGTAGTTTACCTGCCATCGGACCAAGGGCACACGCCCTCTAGCTACTTGCTGCTGTGTGGACACTAGTTTCCTTCTATTAGGAAAGGCCTGGGCACATACTGTGCATTCTTGACATGCTGTCATTTTTTGTTGCCATGTGCCGGGTAGCCCCCAGCGCTTACTCACTGTTCCCATGGTCTTGCTCCCTGCATGATTTAGGGGTCGATGTAGCCAGTGTGCCACATCTGCAGACAGGGCCCTTTCTAGCCATCTCACACGGGCCAGAGCATCATTCCCAGGAGCAGTGAGAGGCATATGGCTGGGAACATGATACACTGTCACCTCTTTTTCATGGCCCAAGGCACACAGTTCCTACCACATGGCCTGCCCCCACATAGGGCGGTTTCTGGCCAACCACTGCTGAGCCCCCCACACAGATAACCATAGGGCCAATCCCCAGTACACCACCCAGCTGTCTGTACAAACAGCTAAAGGCCCTGGTTCATGGGCGATAACCATCCAGACAGCCCATAATTCTGCCCACTGGCTGCTTTGGCCGGTGCCAGTATCAAACCAAATAGCATCAGTGCTTGGCTGCACAGCTATGGCTGTCCACATAGCAGCCGGCCCCCTACTAGAACCATCAGTATGCCAGGCATTCTCCAGGATAGGGGGCTTCCCCTCAGCATAGGGCGTGGGCTCTATCTCTAGAGGAGCTGTCGGAATCTGTTCCCCCACAGCGAGAAACTCAACCGGCCCTAATACTTGCTATAATTCCTCCGAGCTCCTTTCTTCTAGATAAGCCCCCCCACTTTGACAAGGTAGGGGTCTGGACCACGCCAGACTGTGGACAGGTAGCCCGTGACCGGAGCCATCCTTGAATGGGGTACATGGTTCTAAGCCGAACAGGGGCCATTCATGTGATAGCCTCAAACACTATCAGGGTGGCATATGCGGCTGCCAACTGTTTCTCCACTAGAGAATATCATATTTCCACTCCTTTCCACAGTTGGGACCAGAACCTGACATGGGCTTGTACCTGGTCATGCCGTTCCCACAGGCCCCAGCCAAAACCCTCCTGGGTAACATGGACATCCAAGTCATGTAGCCGTCCTGGGTCAGCCACCTGTAAAGCTTGTGCCTGCTGCACAGCACGCTTGGCGGCCTTAAACGCTTGGTCCGCAGCATCCGTCCAGTCCCACAGGGCTCCCTTCTTTACCAAAGCATATAGGGGTCTCACCACCTGGGCTAAATGAGGGATAAACATTTGCCAGTACCCCAGCAGGCCCAGAAATGTTTGCAGTTGAGCTACAGTTGTTGGCAGGGGGTACGCGTGTATTTTATCAATGACTGTCTCAGGTATCACTCTCGTCTTACCCGACCAGACAACCCCCAAGAATTTCACAGGTAAGCCAGGTCCCTGGACTTTGGCATCGTTGGCCAGCCAACCATATGTTGCCAGATGCCTCCACAGGGAATTAGCAGCTTGCTCTAGATCTGCAAGAGAGTCAGAGGTTAACATAACATCATCAATATAGTGAAATACAAGCACTGTATCACTGTGAGCCCAAGCAGATAAATCTTGAGCAATGAGCCCATGACAAATAGTGGGGTTATGCAGGTATTCTTGTGGCAACACACAAAAAGTCTATTGTCTGCCATCCCAGGTGAAAGCAAACTGATCTTGACTCTCAGTGGCAATATCAATGGAAAAGAAGGCATTGGCAAGATCCACAACATAGTGGTACTGTCCCAATCAGACAGTCAGCTGATCCGTTATGTCATGCACCGAGGGCACAGCAGCATGCAATGGAGGAGTCACTATTTAATTCCCAGTACTCCACAGTCATACACCATGCACCATCAGGCTTCCTCACAGGCCAAACCAGGGAATTATAAGGGCTGTGAGTGGATCGCATGATCCCAACCTCTTCCAACTTTACGATAGTCTGTGCGATACTGTCAGGTGGTAACCACACATCGTGGCACCAGCAACACTTGCGGTGAGTGGTGTGTATGCCCCAGGACAACAGTCTTAACTACATGCACCCGTAGGCAGAGCTCACCCATGATTGTCTGCAGGAGCAGTCCTTGCAAGACATCCACCCGCAGAACATACTCGGGGATAGGAGACACACTGTGTACACTTGGGGCAGCAAATGGCCAATGCCAAGGGACAGAGACACTGGCTTCACTTTTACTATACGGCCTCCATAGCCATCAACATATGCCAGCTTCCCTGGAAACTTATCCGGGTTGCCATAAATCAGACTGCAATCAGCTCCGGTATCTACCAATGCCAGCACACGCTGCACATTGGTGGGGGACCAGTGAATTGCAAGTACCACATGTGGCCTCCAGTCCTCTGGGGATCCCCCAAGCCGGGCACCTTGGCCTTCCCCCTAGTCAAAGAGGTACATGGGCTTGCCTCCTGAGGGCTGCATAAAGTCCCGGAGGCTTACCTGTCTGCTCTTGCCGAGATTCTTTTCCGTTCCCACAGTCTTTTGGAACTGTTGCTCAGGCTTCAACTGGCGCCACAGTGCCATCAAGCCAACATTAGTTTGCTGATGTATTGTCCTCTGATCAATGCCAGCAGCTAGCAGGTCTATCCATATTTGCATATGGGTGACTCACTTGGGCCCTTCCTCCACTGAGCCTGCTCTCTGCTTGGGCACCCCCTGCCATGGGACAGGCTCCGTTTTCTCCGTCAGCCTTCTATGTCCCCCAAAGTGGCCACTGCAGCGGTTACCTCATGTATCCAATGCCCCACATCGGGTGCCAAAATGGCCACCAAGGACCCAAAAACATTACACCGGCGGAGTTAAGAACCGAATCCTTCATCCTGGGCATAAAGTGCTAGTCATTGGGCCCCAGGTATTCAGGCTACAAATGGCTTGCCAAATTCCCAATTCACGGATAACTGGAACCAGTTCTGCACAGGTCTGCCATTGGCTCCCAGTCTCTGGGAGCTCCCCGGCATTATCTCACACTGTCTGGGCAGCAGCAGTCACCTACTCCACCATGGAGTGTTTCCCATGCCCTTGGGCTAGCCGGCGGCTATTCTGCTGCGGTTGCGGGAGGGGTGCAACGTGATGGAGGCTAGCTTCTCCATCTGGTCCAGGAGTACAGACTATACTACCAGCCCCCTCATCCCACAGCTGCAGGAGCCAGGCCGGTATGGGTTCACCTGGCCACTGCCCACATTGCTTACACAGGTCCCGCAGTTCTGTTGGCATATAGGGGCTATACGCCGTGAACTCTGTCACGATCGGGGCTCCTTGGGTGACACCTCCTGGACCCAAGAGCTGCTCATGCTTTACCTTTTGCTGGATTACTAGCCGAGCATGGACAGGACGTGCTTCCTCTACGTCCCAGTCCTCAGCGTCCTCCGCCGTCTCGCTGCGAGGTGCCACTTCCAGCTCCCGTTCCAACTGTCGCACCTGCGCCTCCAGGGCTTCCTCCTTGGCCCGCAGCTCCCATATCTGAGCAGCATCCCGCAGGGCAGAAGCCAAGTTGCGGCTTAAGGCCGTCAAAAACAGCCAGCCAGCCCGTCCGACGGCAGGCCGAGCCTTCTCCGGCACCTGCTCTCGCAGGCTACGCAGAGCCGTCTCGATGCTGACCGGGGTCCCAGCCACGGACTCCCACCCTTCCGCAGGGGCCCAATTCAGCTGGACTTCCGCCACCGGGAACCACATACTAGCGGGTGGCCACATGTCCGTCCCGTCAGCCTCAGGAGCCGCAGGTCCACTCACCTCGGAATCCTGCCGGCGCCAAGTGTATGCAGGAGAGAAACGGCGGAGGCCTGGACCACGGGGCTCGGGGAATTGGGAAAAGGTGCGCGCAGCCGATGGCAAAGCAGACATATTTATTCACTCTGGCCGATAGACGCTGGGAGCGCAGTAGCGCCCCTTGTAGCCGCTTTTATATGACTACTAGACAAAAGCTGCATATAGCCAACAGATGACATACAATGTTTACATTTTGCAGGTTACATAAAGTGTTTGCATACATGATTGGCGCATGCGCTGCCTGCAGTGGACATGCTCAGTCACATCTGCCCAGGAGCTGCCCCGGTCTGATTGTCCATAGTACCTCCATTTGCCTTCAGGCTCCCTTGAGAGCCAGCTCAGAGCCAGCGTCTTCCCCACCGCGGCAGCGGAACTCAGAGCGCCAACCAGGGCTCTGGAGGCAGCGGATGGAGAGCCTCCAACAGGTGCCGCAGGAAAGCAATGCCGGGAGCTCAGCTCGCCGGCGGGCACTTTAGACCGCACGGAACCAAAGTCCTGAGGGAAGCGCGAGCTCGCGGACCGCGGAAAGAGGTGCCCACCGGAAGCGGCCGCGAGACCCGAACATGGCGGCCACCCGGTACCTGTGCTGGGGTCTGAGCCGAGCCGGAGCCTGGCTGCTGCCGCCGCCTGCGCGCTGCCCCTGCCGGGCTCTGCACAAACAGGTATACGGTACCGAGTTCCAGAGCATCTACAGCTTGGACAAGCTCTACCCCGAGTCGCGGGGCTCGGACACCGCCTGGAGGGTCCCGGTGAGCCGGCAGGGTCGGACGGAAGGGGCGTTTTGCCTCTGCTGGGTGACATCAGGAACCCGGGGCCCCAGTGGCCGGGCGTGGAGCTGGTTGAAGGCGCCGCCGCGCGCAGAACGTGGCGGTCGCGGCGGGAGGGAGCTGGTTGCCCGAGCAACCAGGGACTGGGGTCGCTGGGCGGGTCCTGGCGTGGCTCGAGGTGTGCGGACGCCAGGAGAGCATGCTGGATGTGTGTCTCACAGGACCACGAGCTTTTCCGCGTTAGCTCCCCGGCCCCCAGGCCCAAATTCTTGTCCCAAGAGAAAACGTGGGCTTTCTGGCCTTCCAGAGTGGACCACAAAGGCCAGAGGCTGGCAAGCTGTTTACTCCCTTTTGGAACCTTTCGGAAAGTTACACTGTCCATGGCCTCTAGGAACCCCAGCACGCCTGAGGAAACAGGCATTCTTGTTCGTTTCTTCAGGAAGCATTTATTGACAGCCCGCTGTGTACAGGCGCTTTATCAGGCCCCCAACCCGGAGAGAGAGGACCCAGCCAATTCTTTTGAGTTTCCACCTACAGGACTGGAAGAGGACATTCATTCATTGATTCACTCATTCAACAAACTTCTGTTGAAAGCATTCTGTGTGCCTAGGCATTGGGATAGAGAAGTGAGCAAAACACAAAAATCCCAGTGCTTGCCGAGCTGATCTTTTCTAATGGAGGAAGACAGGCAATAAATAAAATAAGTAATATATAGAGTATGTGAGGTGGTGATAAGTATTTTGGAGAAAATAAAGCCCAGAAGGAAGGAGTGCTAAGGTAGGGCTAGGGTTGCAGTTTTAAGCAGGATGGTCTGGAAAGGCCTCTGAGAAGGTGACATTTGAGCAAGGACAGTAGTGGGGAGATCGGATCCCTGCAGAGGGAACAGCAGGTGCCCCCACCTCAAAGCAGTAGCATGCTCGACTTGTTCAAGGAACAGCAAGCAGGCCAGTGGGAGCAGGGGAGTGAGAGGAGATGAAGCTAAAGAGGAGAGGGAGCGGGTGGGGGAGGCCCGTTTATGTGGCCTACAGGCCTTTAGCTTTACTCTGAATGCGATGGAGACGTGTTGGAGGGTTTGAGGCAGAGGAGCGGAATGATCCAGCTTAGCTTTCCAAGGATCACTCTTACAGAACCTTATAGAGAATAGACTGCAGAATGGCAAGAACAGGAAGACCATTTAGGAGTTTGCAGTAATAGAGGCAAGAGATGATAAGCAGGGTGGAAGCAATAGGGGTCATGAGAATTGATGAGGTTCTGGATACATTCTGAAGGAAAACCTATAAGATTTGCTAATGGATTTTCTATGAAAAGTGGGAATAAAAGAATTGAAGTCTGCAGCCTTGAGTGGTGGAAGGATTGAGTTGCCATTAATTGAAGTGAGAAAGTGGCAATAACATTCATTTGTCTGTTCTTTCATTACACAAAAAGTGTGTTGTGTACCTACTATGTCGGACACGGTTTCAGGCATTGCAGATACGGTCACAAGAAACAAAACAGATAGGGTCCGTGCTTCGTGGAACTTATGTTCTAGTGGAAGGAGCAGACAGTAAACAAGTGGGAACAACATATCAGGTAGTGAGAAGTAATGAATAGACCTGGGTGCTGTCATAGAGAGTGCTGGGGAGCTACTTCAGATTGTTAGTAAGATAGACATAGATGGATGAAATGTTCTAGGGAAAGAGTAGGACAAAGAAAAAGGATTTCAGGGTCATGTCAGTGTTTAAAGGTTGCAAAGAGCAGGCAAAGGAGAGTGAGAAAGTCATAGGGAGGTGAGAGGAAACCTGGAGAGGACAGCTCAGAAGGCAGTGCAAGAGCAGACTTCAAGGAGGCGTGGCCCACCGTCTCAGTACTGCAGAGAGGTGGAGTGGGAGGAGGATTCCACCGCAGATGCTTCTCAGATGCAGACACAGCCAGAGTGGCTGCAGGCGAGGGAGGATGGGCTTGGACGGCCAGAAGAGCTGCCGCAGGGAAGTGTTTGCACTGGGCACGTGGACGTGAGGATTTAAGGCTGGAGAGCTTTGCTACTGAGGAGCAGCACGGGAGAGATGTGGAGGTGAGAAATCCTGGAGCAGGTCGTTCTGTCTGACACAAAGCCTTGAGGCCGATGTGCTAGTTACTGTTCAAGGCTGTCAGCTTGCCCTGTGAGCCTCCTGTGGCCTGAGAAGGGACAGGGCGGCCCAGTAGGTTTGTTGCTCCGGGTTGCAGAAGGCATTCCTTTTGGAGTCTCCCTGATGTGTGTGTACTGTGGTGCCTTTCCCGCCTCCCTGGAGGCAGGCCTCTGATGGTGCCCAACACTAGCTAAAGTGGGGGCAGGGAAGGCTGGAGAGGTCAGCTCCATTTTCCTGGAAGAGTGTTTCTGAGGTGGTACCTCTGGGAGTCTGGGGAAGCTTTTTCTGTCATTCTGATGTGATTTTGCTGGGGACCTGAAAATCGTTGTATTACATTTGCCTTATGGCTTTACATCATTTCTTTGGTTGTCCTGGACCAGTTAGAAGTCACCCAGCAGGTAATATTTATTTGACGCTGTGTATGTTGCATTACAGGATGATGCAAAGCAAGCCAACAATGACATTCCTCTGGGTAAGTAATTTTGTTTTATAAAAAAATCTGTCATTTCCCTCACCCCTCACACATTCCTTCTAGATCTCTCCAGCCTAATGAAAGTAAAGAAACTGTCTTTGGTGGGGGCCAACCCCATGGCCGAGTGGCTAAGTTCGCATGCTCCACTTTGGCAGCCCAGAGTTTCGCTGGTTCGCATCCTGGGCGCGGACATGGCACCACTCATCAAGCCATGCTGAGGCGTCATCCCACATGCCACAATTAGAAGGACCCACAACTAAAAATACACAACTGTGTACTGGGGAGCTTTGGGGAGAAAAAGGAAAAATAAGATCTTTAAAAAAAAAAAAAGAAACTGTCTTTGGGTATGCAAAAGTGGAGTCTTTGCAGCCTTGCTTAGAATAGCAAAAATGCAAAATGATCATGGAGGCACTCTGCAATGCTGTGTGGCCTGCGGCACAAATGGAGAGCACGGGATGCTTCTGTGACGTGGAACCATCTTTACAAGAGGTGAAGTGATCATTATTTGAAAAAGGTAAGGTGCACAAGAGTCTATGTAGTAAGCTACCATTTGTCTATTGTGTATGTATATCTGAAATGTATACTTTTGTATATATACATAGATCTGAAAGGATGTACAAGAAATTGGATATGAGGACTGCCTTGGGGAGCGGAGAGGAAAGGACAAACTTGGTGGCTGGGCAACAGGAGTGGGGGACTTCTCCCTGTAAACTGTTTGCATAACTTTAGAATCGTGCACCCATCAAGCGTGAGGCAAGGACTGACAGGCGTAAAGAAACAACGAGCCCTTTTTAGATTCAGAGAGTTTATGATGTCCAGAGACAGTGAAAGGAAGAGAAGCCAGAGGTGCCGGCTCCTTGTTGCCCTTGTTCAGGGTGACACTGAAACAAAGAGGCCAGGTGACTACATCACAAGGGAGAGGACCCTGTGGCCACAGCTCGGCAGTGTGTTAGCCTGCAGCTGTGTCCTGAGGCGTGCATGTGGCTGGAGGAGGCAGAAAGCCTGTCTCATCAGACCAGAGATGAAGAGACTGTCTCGTGACAGCGCCCAGGGGAGACAGGGAGGCAGTGGGAAATGGCCATGTGGCAGCCCTCACCTGCCTGCCGTGCTTCTGTGCTCTGGGAGGATCACAGGCGTTCCTGCGAAGACGTCCTCAGCTGCAGTGCAGGCGGTGTCTCGGTGGCCTGTGTGGATGCAGGCAAGGTTGCCGACACCGTGGCAGAACCGTCCCCCTGCAGTACCGCGTGCATTCGTTACCTGTTCAGGAATATTAGTTAATTTGATTTTTCAAAAGGAGAAAAGCCTCTTCGGAGCAGTCCCAAGATGGGTCACCCATCTGCCCGCAGAGGCCTGCTCTCCACCACCATGGCGCCACACTTCTTTGCCGCCCAAAGCATTTGTGGCTCACCATCCAGTCTTCTTTTTTTTTTTTTCCTGCTTTTTCTCCTGGAATCCCCCCAGTACATAGTTGTATATTTTAGTTGTGGGTCTTTCTAGTTGTGGCATGTGGGACGCCGCCTCAGTGTGGCCTGAGGAGTGGTACCATGTCTGCACCCAGGATCTGAACCAGCGAAACCCTGGGCCGCCGAAGCAGAGCACACGAACTTAACCACTCAGCCACAGGGCCGGCCCCACCATCCAGTCTTCTGAAGTTTCCCACTACCACCCCTTCCCTGCTTTCCTCAGACACTATGAGGCTGCTTTTCATGAATTACGAAAAGAGAAGGACAAACCTCATTGTACAGATTCAAAAGACAAACAAAACTGAGACCCAGAGAAGCAGCGGGACTTTGCCAGGATCACATAGTCAGTCAGTGGCTGAGCCAGTGTTAGAAGGAAGGCCTCACAGCTCCAAGTCAAGTACGCATTCATCCAGCAGGTGTTTGTAAACACTGACCGTGAGCGAGGCGCTGGAAACACGTGATGAACTAGACACACTCCTGCCTTCTTGGAGCTTACAGTCTATTGGGATTCCACATCCACCACACTTAATGAAATACAACATTAAACTAAGTTTGTCCCTTAGTCTGAGCTTTTGAAAGAGTCCTTGCTTTTAAATAAACAGCAAAAAGCTAGGGCAGCCAGATCTGGTGGAATGTACTGGACCAGAAGCCGACAACCCAGGTCATAATTTTACATCCTCTGTTGTCTCTGTGGCCCAGACAAAGTCCCTTACTCTTGATTTTATTTATTTATATTTTAATTTTTTTTGCTAAGGAAGATTTACCCTGAGCTAACACCTGTTGCCAATCTTCCTCTTTTTACTTGAAGAAGATTCACCCTGAGCTAACATCCGTGCAAATCTTCCTCTATTTTGTATGTGGGTCACTGCCACAGTGTGGCTGCCGATGAATAGTGTAGGTCTGCGTCCGGAAAGCAAACCCAGGCCACCAAAGTGGAGCGCACCAAACTTAACCACTAGGCCACAGGGCTGGCCCTTGATTTTAGTTTTGACATCTGTAAATAATTTCTGACTTTACTGATCTGAATGTTCTGTTTATATATCAAAAGTCATTGAAAGATATGTAATAGGGATAGTTATGTTGATCGTAAATTAACAGTTTGCACATTTTGCGATGGGATAATCATTTTTTTGGTGTATGTTCTGTTTTACAGATCGCTTGACAATATCTTATTGCCGGAGTAGTGGTCCTGGGGGCCAGAATGTTAACAAAGGTACAGGGTACCTTGTTGTTTTCTTTCATTTTAAAACTTAGCTGAGAGACGGACTTGTTTACGTTCATGTGGAATAAAGAGATTTTTTTAGCAGAAGCTTCAATACCACCAGCTTATAATAATCCTCTTTATTCTTTTGAATGTGGTCTGATTCGCCGGCTCAGCTGTGGGTTGCCAAGACTAGGCTTGGCTTGTTGAGTCTAAACAAAGGGAAATCACAGTGTGAGTTGGCAACCAGCTCCAAGCACAGGTTTCCTTCATTCTTAGGGAACCCATCCCCCCCGTTCTTTTCAGAACCCAATAAACTGTAAGAGAAACAATGGGCATTCAGTTCCTGGAAGTTTATTTTTGTCCAGAAGTGCCTTACTATCTTTGCAGGCTTCTTCTGTGGCCAACTTTGTATCCCCAAATTGATACAGGATAGAAATGTGCCTGGTTGGGTGTCTCACCCCTTTGTTTCAGGATGGTGACCAGCCACCGGATGCTGAGCCCAAGAGTTTCAGTGACCCATGCTCCCTCCTCTCTTTATTTACAGTGAATTCCAAGGCTGAAGTCAGGTTCCATTTGGCAACTGCCGACTGGATTGCAGAGCCTGTGCGACAGAAAATGGCCATCACGGTAACCACTGGCCCCCTTCTTTTTCTATAATCCCTCAGTCGCTTTTAAACCTTTGCTCTGTAGAACTCTGGTTTTGCCTTTGTTCTCTGCAGCATAAAAATAAGATCAACAGGTCAGGAGAGTTGATACTCACCTCTGAATGCAGCCGCTATCAGTTCCGAAATCTGGCAGATTGCCTCCAGAAAATTCGAGACATGATCGCTGAGGCCAGCCAGCCAGCCAAGGAGCCATCCAAAGAAGATGCTGTGCTACAGAGAATCAGGTACTAGAAAATGCCCCAAGCGTCTCAGCCGAGTCGTGTGGCCGAGGGGCCGCACAGGGAAGGAAGGAGGCAGGGTGAAGTCCACGCCCTCCCGGCAGACAGGCGGAGGAGCCCGGGAATGGGAGAAGACCCACCCGGAGTGGAGGCTCCCCGCCAGCTGCCGCCTGCTGATGCGGCTGCTCTGCTTCCCCTGAGCTGCCAGCTCCTCTCCCACTTTGAAAAGCACTGATTGGGCGTCTGGGACTAATTGCCGTCTTTTTGTTTTCAGGATAGAAAACATGAATCGGGAAAGGCTGAGAAAAAAGAGAATAAATTCTACCATAAAGACAAGCAGGAGGGTAGATATGGACTGAAGTCATCCTCCAGAGCCGGCAAAGGCCCTCTTCAGGGCGTGCAGGCAGCTGCAGCCGAGGGAGCTCTAACACCAGCAGGCGACTTCTTTGTTGGTCGTGGTTGTTAACGTTTGTCTAACACTGGAGCCATCATGAGAGTGTTCAATTGCACTGGTTGCAGTCACTGTTTGCAAAGGTCTTTATAAGCAATCACGTGTTGTCAAACCTTAATTATCTATTTGATACATTAGCTGCAATAAAATTCTAAATGCAGTGGGCTTCCCTCTCATTCCAAATGCATCAGAACAGAATTCCTCCCTTTTCTCTCAGTTGAACTCTGCCTAACAGTTATTGACTGGCACTGACTGCTTGTCACAGCCAGGGGGAAACAGAGGAATGAGTTGTGGTGTCTGTCCTCCAGGAATACACAGTCAGGTAGGAGGCAGGTGAGTGGGCATCTGAGCTGGGCCTTGAAAAAGGTAGAGAATTTTAATCAGTAGAGACGAGAGGAGGTCACGTCAGGTGAAGGGAACAGTATGAATAAAGGAGACCCAAGAAAAGGCTGGTGGAGAAGAGGAGGAAGCCATCTGAATGGTGGATTGGTGCAGGAGATTGCGAGAGGTAAGTCTAGAGAGGGAGGGAGATGCTTGATGTGGAGACTCTTGAATTCAAGTTAAAGAGTTTAGACTTGAAGAAATGTAGGTAATAGGGGAGCACCGAGCGGGAAGGAGTGTCGTGAGTTAGGTGCTGTCGCAGTCTGGGGCTTTGGAGGCAGGAAAGGAGTGAGTTGGAACTGGAAAGAGGTTTTTGCAATCCTATGGGTATGGGAAGCACCCAGGCCAGCGTAACAGTAGCACATTCTCTGGCGTGTACAAATGCCTTAGAATGTTCTCTGTCACTTTGATCTACTTCACTCATTTGGCAAATACTGCACGGTGATGCACTAAATGCAAGATAATGCCCTGGAGTGGTACATACGTGAGCAGGGCCCTTGTTATTCATGTAAGTGTAAACGGGAGAAAGTCATCGACCAGTGATTCTTACAAAATACAGAAGATGTGGAAAACATGGTCCCTGTCCTCAGGGGACACAGAGCCTAGCAGGGAGCGGAAGCTCATATGCAAGGAAGGGCAACATACATTAGTTCATTCATTAATTCAACAAATAGTGAAAGCCAGAAACTGGGTGAGGTCCCAGGGGATCAGAAGTGAACAAAACAAAGTCTTTTTCTTCCAGAGAATTTACATTAAACTAGGTAATGATAAAAGCTGAGAAGGAGAATAGATTCCTGTTACAGTAATGTGACCAAAACGTGGTAAATAGCTTAAGAAAGGTCTAAGTAGATTGCGGGAGACAGAGAAGCAGCTAGTTCCAGCTGGAAGGCAGAGAAGATGTACTCGAGGTGCTTGAAAGGGGCCTGAAGGAGGGGAGGGCTGGCCATGCGAACAAGGTAAGAACTTACCACCTGAAGGCTCCAGTGTGGCCAAGGGCCCTGCCTGTGGCCGGGACAGTGAACTATAGTGCCGAGAATGGGCTCTGAAGCCACACTGCCCCAGGTCCGTGCCTGCCCTCCGCCACCCGCAGCTATGGGCTTTGGGCAAACTCCTTAGCCTCTCTGAATCTTAGTTTCCCCATCTGTAAACTAGGGATGATGCTATCAGTGCTGTCTCATCCAGTGGTTGTGGGATTTAGGTGAATAAGTGGTCAATGGCACTGAGCACGCACTCGGGGAAATTTAGCCATGATTAATAGCCCAGTTTGGCTGGAACCCCGGGGATGAAGAGCTGTGGAAGACACGTCTGCCACATTGAGTGGGAGCCAGCTCTAGAGAGGCCTTAAATGTGACAGCTAAGACTTTTAGGCTCTACCCCTCCAGAGGCCGGCAGGGGAAGATTAATGTGACAGTGAATGGACGAGGAAAGATTGCAGGTAAGTGAGCACAGGTTGGTGGACTGACCCATGTGAGCAATCAGAGAACTGGAATTAGGGCAGTGGCAACAGGGACAGAGAAAACAGCAGATGCAAAAGAATTATGGGGACAGAAAATTGGCCCAGGTGGAGTGGAAGCAGGTGTGTGACATGGGTGACGCTGTATATCAAGACAGGAAAGTCACAAAGGCAGCAGGCTTGGGAGGGTGGTTGATGATGAGGACGGTTTTGCCTGCAAGGAGCTGACTGTGGGCCTGAGGTAGTGATGCCCAGGAGGGGGAATGGAGCCCTGGAGCTGGGGAGTGAGGTTGCAGCTGGGAGACGCAGGAGGGAGGGGCACAAGTAGTCTTGGGAATGGAGAGGAGCGGTTGAGGACGAGGCAAGGCGGAACCCGGGGAGAAGGTGGCAGCAGGAAACCAAGAAGGCATCCCTGTGGGTTGACTCTGGAACAAAGTGCTGGAATCGTGAGGCCCTCAGAAGATATTCGTGGCATGTGGAGGGACCTGGAAAAGCATTTGAGACACACAAAGGGGAAGGAGAAGTAAAAAGAAGCAGAACAAACTGGGGGACAGAGTAGAGCACAGGGGTAGGAACCATCCTTAACAAAAACTAAGGGCAAAAGAGTGCACATGGGTGAATCAGAGGCACAACGTTGAGCAGAAGAGGCCAGGCTACCAAAGACTATGATTCCATTTGCACATAGTTCAGCACAAGGCAGGGTCTGGCCCAGTGGCATAGTGGTTAAGCTCACATGCTCTGCTTTGGTGGCCTGGGGTTTGCAGGTTCAGACCCCAGGCACAGACCTAGCACCACTCATCAAGCCATGCTGTGGCGGCATCTCACATAAAATAGAGGAAGACTGGCACAGATGTTAGCTCAGCAACAATCTTCCTCAAGCAAAAAGAGGAAGATTGACAACAGAGTTTAGCTCAGGGCCAATCTTCCTCACCAAACAACAACAAAAAAAACCCCAAGGCAAACCGGCTTTGTAGTAATGAAAGTTGGGAAGGTATTTGCGGGGGCGGGGGTGGGGGGTGGGGAGGAGGGTCTGGTGATTGGCTGGGGGGAGGCACAGGGAGCCTTCTGGGGTGCTGGAAGTGTCCTGCATCTCATCTGGCTGTAACCTTAAGATCTGTACACCTTGCTGCATGAATGTTGCACCTCAACAAACAGACAATTGATTGACTTAAAGGGAGGCATCCTCAAGGGAGGAGACTGGAGCCAGGTAGGTTAAATTATTCCTTCTTGCTGAAGTTAAGGGAGGAAGGAGAAGGTTTCTGCAGACTCTGCCTGTTGGAGGGAGAAAGAAAGGAAGAAGAACGTGTCCAAGTCCCTGTACCCTGGGATGCTGGGGATGGACAGGCAAGGCCTCAACGCAGGCACCACGAGTAATAAATGCTGACCTTGGCTGAAGCTTCTGCTGTTACAACTTTCAGATGTGCATGGGTTTTAATATGGATGTTAAACTTGCGTAACGTTTAAAAATGTTTATTCTTTCTATTACTTTTTGTATAACAGTTTTAAAGTAATACAATATTAGAGTGAAGTATCTATTTGGCTGATACATTTCTTTTCTATACATTATATGTTTATGTGTATATTTCTATTAGACTGGAAGGATTTGTTCCTCTTAGTTGTATATCGTCTTGTGACAGTGACGATTTTCAGTGTTTATGTTTCAATATTCATGATTGATGCTAATCTCTTCTCGTTCGTTTCCTATACTACTTTTTCCTAAAATTCCTGGATTTTCTGTCGGTTCTGTAGAGGTGGACACAGTGGCTCGATGGTAGGAAGGAAATGCCTCCAAATCTGAGCGTTCGCCTACCATGGTCCAGGTGGTCGGGCAGCCCCAGCGCCGGCCGCCCGGCCCCCACTGTGCTTCCCGGCGCGGGTGGCTGGAGGTTGGTCAGCTCGCCTCCCACGGTAGTGTCTTCCCGCCTCCTCGCGGTCGTTCGCGAGCTCCAGAGGGCCTGTCTGCGCGCATCCCCGACACTGCATCCCTCGGCAAACGTGCGCCCGGCTGAGCCCTGCCTTGAAGACCCGGAGTCCGGCCGCAGACTAGGAGCAGAGAAGCTGCAAATGTGTGCCGCGAGCCCCAGTGGCCTAATGGATAAGGCACTGGCCTCCTAAGCCAGGGATTGTGGGTTCGAGTCCCACCTGGGGTAAAGGCAACTTTTTGGATATTTCCCAGTTTCAGGTACTGGAGTCCACTCCACCGCTGTTCGACCGCAGTAAAGACCGTGAGTACGTTCGGGCTCGGGAACTGCGGGCCAAAGACTGAAGGGTTCACCCAACAGCCCCCAATTTTGGTATAGCTCACAGGTCAAGACTAGAGAGCAGGACTTGTCCCTGCTTAAGGGTGCAGTGTCCCCAGGACACTCGGGAACGCGGGGGCGAGGGCGACACTGAGCCCGGAGCCGGGAATACAGGACGTGCAGACATCCTGATTGCAAACACCAGGCCCTGTAAGCTGCCCGGCAGAAGGTTGGCAGGGGTCCTTGGGCGGCGCAGTGCTGAGGCACATGGAGCCCCTGGGTCCCAGGTACCAAAAGTTGCTATGGGAAGAGGTCTGAGCACGCACCACCCCAGGTGGGACTCGAACCCACAATCCCTGGCTTAGGAGGCCAGTGCCTTATCCATTAGGCCACTGGGGCGCGATAAGAAGCCAGCTCCACGTGGTCTGTGATAGTGCGTGGTGGCGTGCACCCGCACGCGCACAGATCTCACGCGGTTCCACCACGCCGGCGGCCGCACCGCCACCCCGACACCGAGTCCAGGTCCCGGGAAGCCAGCTGGGCTACGCAAAACGCGAGAGTTCAGGGTGAGGTGATTGGACAGTGTCCGCTGAGACCAGAGGGCGCCCGGCGGCGCGCAGTTCCACGGAGAGGAGCGAACTCCCTGGAAGGCGAGTGCCAAGCGGCCCCAGGGACCGGGGACGGGGACGGGGACGAGGAGGGAGGGCAGAACGAGCCCGCAAACGAAGCCCCGCGGGATTGCTGTACCCCTCGCCACCGAAGGGCGCGAGCCATTCGCCCAAAAGGAAGCCGACCACGAAGGGACTCAAAAAGCTCAATCTTCAGATCCGAAATCAGACGCCTTATCCCCTTAGGCCATGCGGTCGCGACGCCCAGTGGGCCCAAATGCACCGGCCAAGTACAGCCCCTTTGCTAGTGGCGGCGCCGGCGACTCGAGCCGGAGGGGACTGAGCGCGCTGGGCCACAGAGTGCGTCAGAGGGGTGGCGGGGAAGGGAGCCGGGCTACGGTGCTTAAGCCCCGCATCATCGCTGGTGCATCCAGAGATCACTAAATAGGCATTTAGGTAACGGTGTGTACGCAGGGAG